ACGGTGTCCCTTCTCCCTGAGCATCCCCTCCCCTCTGCCTACCATAGATTAACGGCTGCACGGCGATCTGCAAATGTAGAGCAAATTCTGCTACGAATGTGTCAAAAAAAAAAATAGATGATTAAAGGAGGGGGAAAAACTGATGAAAAGCTAGTCCCTTATCTAAGAAATCATCCTGCAAATACCTCACAATTAAAAAATTTGGTTTTTGGCTGTTCTTGGGCCATTACTCTCTAGGGGTATTCCAATAAAAACAAACTCTCCCCAGGACATCCAGATGATTTGTTTTCACTTAAGCTGTTAAGGCTACGTGTACGCAGATCCAAAGTAACAGAGGACGTCATTTTATTGGCTGTCCACAGGGAGTTTCATCACACGAGGAGGTGACGACTGTGTGGCGGGAGCGGCACAACACAACACCTCGTCTAACTACTTAAAGAAGGTTAAGGGACACTGGAGGTGACAAAGCCCTGGCAGCTCTCTGCAGCCCAGGTGCCACCTCACTGTGGAGAGCTAATGCTGAAGAAGCTGATGACTGAAGACCATGTCCATTGGTTTCACTGTGTTGCACTGTCTTCCAACAAAACAGCACTTGAAAATTCACAAAAGTAAAAAAAACAAAGGAAAAAAGAAAGAAAGAAAGCAGCAATTCCTTTGGAATACCAACACCACTGTAACAGACTGCAGCGTGGCATGCAAATCCATGTCTGGTGGTTTTTTTACCCTTTAGGGTTTTTTTTGTTTTTGTTTTTAATTAACAAATGGAATGGCATGTCTATTTCAAATATTAGTAGCTTAACACCTAAGTGCAATTCCAGTCTGGCCACGAGTGTCAGAAACCTCCCGTGCATCTGTCATGAGGCAGCAGACACACCGTAGCATCCAGGCCACCTCTTTTCTCCTCAGGCCCTGATTCGACCCCTGCAGGCTCTTCCCTCCCCAGGCCCCGATCAGATTCCAAATGCCTGGAAACAGCCACTTCTCTATTTCATCTCTGTCAAAATGCTCAGGGTGGGGAGGAAAATTCAAAGAAATCCAAGCTCTCAGCAACTGGGTCCTGCCGGCCCCCTGGCATCAGATGGGGCTCCACTCACTCTCCAACTGGTCTCTGCACCCAGACCTGAGTGGTCACCTTCACCATGTTATTCAGTCGGGAGAAGGTCGCTGTGGGACACACCCACCACCTCCGTGGAAGACCTGGGCAGTCCCCCAGGGCCTGGCCGGCATGTCACACGGAGCTGAGCTTCACCAGGCCTCGCACTGAGTCCTCGTGCAGGGTGTCCTGGCTGGCCAGGCCCAGGATGTGCATGGTGCGGCTGTGGGCCAGGGGGCTGCCTGCTGCCAGCAGCCTGGGGGGTGAGGGCGCCTCATCCGGGGTCAGGAACTGGTGGCCCACGTGCTCGTCCTTCAGGGGCATTATGTCAGTGAGTGTGGCCTCGGTGGTGAGGTTGGGCAGGGAGGAGGGCGGCGTGGGCTGGCCCAGTGTCAGGCTGGCACAGGGCGTGCCCAGGCCCGGCTTCCCAGGCAGGTGCAGCTCGTTGCTGGTGAGGCTGGGCTCGCTCTGCAGCAGGGGCATGGCTGCGGCCTGCAAAACGAATTTGGTGCTCTGAATGCACTGGTCTTGGTCGAACTGGAGAGCAGGAGGAGCCAGCAGAGAGAAGGCGGAGAGGAGGTGGGCAGGGGTGGAGAGGTGGGGGAGGGTGGGATGTGAGAAGAGAGAAACCGTTATTGACACCCGGGTCAGACAGAGGCAGGAGCGTGCACAGTAGCCTGGACGCAAGCGGAGAGACCCCAGCACACGGCAAAGTGCCAACACCTGGCACCTAAATAACCTGTGCAAAGAAATAGTCACCCACAGGTACCCAGTTGACCTTCAGGCTAGGATGCCCGATTTAAAGGATGAAATTTGAAAACAACCCCATGGACAGTGTCATGGGCTTTTATCACCTACAGTGATCTGAGGTGCCTGTTTCTTGTATGCTAAGAGCCCTTTTTTTAACCACGTGGTTTTAAAAATACATGGGCTTGCACACCCATGTTCATAGCAGCATTGTTCATAAAAAGCCAAAAGGTGGAAGCAACCCACATGTCCACTGACAGACATAAACTGGATAAACAAAATCAGGTGTTTACACGCAATGGAACATCACTCAGCCTTAAAAAGGAAAGAAATTCTGACACATGATACCATATAGGTGAACCTTGAGGACATCATGCTAAGTAGAACAAGCCAGTCACAAAAGGACGAAACGACGCGAGTCCACAGATGTGAGGTCCCACAGTAGTTAAGCTTCGTAAAGAGAAGGGGCGGTGGGGAGGGAATTAGGGAGTGCGTTTAACGGGTGCAGAGTTTCAGTTTGAAAATATGGAAACGTTCTAGAGACGGGTGGTGGTGATAGTCGCACAACAACGTGAATGTACTTAATACACCGAACTGTACACTTAAAAATGGTTACAATGGTAAATTTTATGTTATGTCTAATTGACCACAAAAAGAAAAGAAAAATACAGAAAATAAGCAGAAGCCCTGGAGGGCCTGCTCAGACTGTTCTCTAAAGCCCTAGAATTCCTGCTGCTGAATGTTCATGAGCTTCATGAACCTTGAATTAAGCTTCTGTGGTCTGCTAACACCAACATTCCAGAAGATGTTTCCTTTCCTTTCAACTGCTCTTAAATCATATCACATCTATCCGCTGTCCTCTGTTTCCCTTCACTCACTGGGCAAGGAATGTGGATCCCTGAGAGCTCTGCAAACCCTCCCTGTGAGCTATGGGCAAGTTTCAGAACAGCTCGAAGAGGCCTCACGGGGCTGGGAAACTCGGTGTGAGCCTGCGCAGTACCTGCTGAGTGTGCTGCAGAAGCAGCTTTTCTGTGGGAGGAAGACGAGGTGCGGATGGGAGGTTGTGACCCTACGCTCAAGCTATACGCTGGGGGCTCCTCCGCATCCACAGAAGTTCTCAGAACAAGCACGTCTCCTTTCTTTACAAACGAAGACCCCAAGGCGCAGACGGTTAGGCCTGCTCGAGACCTTACAGATGAAAGCAAGGGACAGATCCAGGATTTGAAGCTGGGATTGTCCGACTGCAAACCTTTTCCCACTACTGCCCATTTGACACACAGCAGGTGCCTAATAAATGCTACCTGGCTTATTATCCCCTCCTTTTTTTCATAGCTCTAGAGTGACTGAAGAACCACCTGCTAACAGCTTTGTGACTGAAGAGCTCCTGACAAGAGGCATACCCAGAACTGCCATCTCTCACCCACCTGCCGTCACAGAAGCAACCAAAGCGAACACGAGAATGCAGCCCTGGGAGGCACAGAGAGGTCCTCTGAACTCGGAATCCTGAGGCCTTTATGTCATTTGCTGCAGTGAGTTCCCTTCCCAGGCTGATGGAGTTCTTTCTAAATCGCGAGTGGCAGGCCATCCCTACCCCGCCCCCCAAGTCTACACGAGAAGGTTGAAGAACTGCAGTCTCTAAGGAATTTGCAGGTTTTAGAAATTCAGAGACTTTGGTTCCAGACAAGAGTCAAGCTCATGGTGGAACTTTAAAGAGGGAAAACAAGTCTCAGGGAAGATCTCGATGTTCTGTCTTCGCTTTACTGCAGTCAGTGGAACTCCAAAACACGGAGAAGCTGGGGAAGGCATGCAGGGTGGGAAGGGCTGGGGAGGGAGTCTGGGCTACTCCGAGGAGATAAAAAGCACATTAAAAAGTACTGGAAAGGGGCTGACTGCTGAGCATTCACAATCCTTTAATGCACTCATTTTTCCCAATCATCACCCAAATCGTTTGTGCCGCAGCAGTGCTTTCCCGAGCTGTCAGGTGGGCAACCGAGTAGCGGCTCTGATCTTGCAGGGCTTTTCAGCTGGGGTGCCATCCTGTCTGGTGGCGATACGAGCCGCGAGACTGTCAGGCTGCAGACAGCCCTGGTCTGAGCAGGTCTGCTCGCACCCTCCGATGCTGTCAGCCCCGTTCAGGTCACTGGCTCAGTCTTGACAGGGCAGAGGCGGCGGAGAGCAGCCTTGCTGATTAAACGTTCATCTTCTGGAAACTACGACAGGGTTTGGATAGACTGTGCTTTGCAAAGAATGTTTTATGAAAATCACCATTTAACATCCTTACTGACAGAGAGTGCGAGCTACTGCAGTGCTGGCTCCCACGTCCTGGGGTCAGGGGTCAGGGGGCAAGCTGCCCCTGCCAACGCCCGGGCTGAGGGCCAGGCTCGGGGCTCACTGCAGCAGCCGTGCCGGCCTTGTCTTCACCTGACCCCTCTGGAGCCCTAGCTGCTCATCCCGATACTCTTTGTCCACACAATACCCCAGCTCTCAGGAAGCAGGAAATTGCAAATTAGATTTGCTTGTCTCTGCTGACCTGAAGAAAGCTTTTTTTTTTTTTTTTTGAAAACTAATAGGCAAATTCTATTTTACGGATCAGCCCAAGGACTTCTGACCGGCTCTTGCAGGCTCATAGAAAAATACGTTGGACGTTAGAGGCGGGCGCCACCATCCCTTCCTCTCTCCTGCGCTGTCCTGTTTCCTCTTCTGTGCTCCCCCATCATTACCCCTTTCCTCCTCCCTGACCACTTCTCTCAAGGCTCAGCCTGGCCCCAGAGCTCGTGGGCACCCACCAGAACCTTCGGGGGTGAAGTGGCCGCCAACAGTGGCCCGTTCAGTTCCTGAGAGCTCATGTTCCCTGGAAGTGTTGATGTGGAGGCTGAAGTGCCTCCTGACACGTTAAGATACTGACATCCCTTTGCTGACTCAAAACAAGGAAAACGCAGGCCTAGGGGCCGAGCCCGTGGTGCACTCGGGAGAGTGCGGCGCTGGGAGTGCAGCAGTGCTCCAGCCGCAGGTTCAGTTCTGTATAGGGATGGTCAGTGTGCTCACTGGCTGAGTGTGGTGAGGCCGGTCACAAAAAGGACAAAAAAAAAAAAAAAAAAAAAAAAAAAA